TTGGTGTGGAAGGGAACTGGGCCAGGGCTGCAGGGGCGTGGCCTCGTTTAATCCTTGCTGCAAGGCATTGTCCCTGTCCAAGCTGACCAGGCACGAATGGGTTTGGCCTTACAAGGGGGCAAGGGCATGAGAGGGAACCAGCCAAGGGCAGGACTGGGTGTAGAACCAGGTGAGGGCAGAGTTGGCTACCTGGCCGCATTCCTGGCTCACTCCCATCACGCTGCCCCTAGCCCGTCTGCCACGGAGGAGAAGAGCACCGGCAGCATCCTGGACGACATCGGCAGTATGTTTGACGACCTGGCCGACCAGCTGGATGCCATGCTGGAGTGAAGGGCCACTGCCCACGAGGGGCCCGCGCCGCCCGGGCTCCGGCCGCACACTGACCTTTACCTCAGGACGGGCACCTGGGCCAGGCGGCCACGGGCCAGAGCTGGGGACGGGCCTCCCCCCGCCCCCTGCACAAGCACAACTCCTGCCGTCTGCCCGGGGTTGGCCTCCCGCCGCTGCCCCCAGTGCAATCAATACCCGCTGGGCTGTCCCGCCTGCCCAGGACAGGGTGCTGCTGGAGCCCCCCAGCTGAGCGGCAGAGCACACGCCTCCCGATCCGTCCAAGCCCCGGGCAGCCACTCCGGCTGAGCACAAACCGGGGCAGAGGGTCAAGGCTGGGGCTCGTGGGCCCCCACCCCGCTGCACCCCACCCCAAGATATAAACTATGGAGAGTATTAATTTATTGGGAATGAGCTGAGGCAGATTCCCCTCCCCCCCAGAGAAACACAAAAGTATAACTTTAACAAATATATATTTAAAGAAAGAAAATATTATTGATCTATAGAAAACCATTTAGCAGCGAGGAAGGACACTCTTAGAGGCCCGGCCCCTCTGCTGTCCTTCCCTCCGTCCAGGAGTGCCCAAGCCCCTGGCCCAGCAGCACAACCAGAGGCAGGGGGAGGGAGCACTGTGGGACCAGAAGGTGGGGTCGGTGCTCTGCGGGGCCTCTGCCTCCCCGCTTCATTTCTCTGCACCCGAGGATGTGCCTTGCTCGCTGACCGGCTGTGTCCTCTTTCCAGAACAGAGGGAATTAAGCGAGGCTCCCCTCCTTAGCAGGCGTGGCCGACTCATGGGGGGCGTGGCTGCGGTGTGCCTGGGCGTGCGTGCGTGCGTGCGTGATGACCAAGGCGTGGCAACGGAGGCGTGCATGCGGCTGCGTGTGGCGCGTGTGCGTGCGTGCCTGCTCCCAGAACCCCGAACCCACGCTGGCCTCCTGGACAAGCAGCCAGCTCAATCCCCCCACTCGAGTCCCGACGGCCGCTTTCTGCTCGTGGTCCGAGGCAGTGTCGTGTGGTCCTCCCCAGTTTCTGTCCAGCCCCGCTACTCTTCCCTCTATCAAGTATGGACTGGTCTCTATTGTGTTTGCTGACCCAGACTTTGGTAACTTTGACATTTCTTTAAAAAAACAAAACAAAAAAACCCTGGAAGCCGGCCAGCGGTGGTGACACAGGACGGGAGGAGGGGCCGGTAGAGGTGATGTCCAGGCTTGGGAAGGCTCTACCAGCTCTCTTGCCCTGGTAGTCACCCAGCTGGTGGGAGGGCTCCAGGCAGGGGCTGCTGTCAGTTCTCAATAAACAGCAGAACAAGGCACTGTCTGGTCTGCTTCTGTTTCTTTTCTTTTTTTTTTCCAGGGGGGTTTCTTTGTCCTGGCAGGGGGGAGTAAGGTCCCAAAGAGGGGAGATCTGGTCCTAGGGTTGAAAAGGAGCTCCTTCATGCTTCCTCCACTCTGTCAAGGATGCCCCCTTTTGTGACACCCTTGAGATGTCAAAAGGACCCCCTTCCTGCCTCTTCCCGAGTTAAGTTTCGCACATTTCCCATCCCAAAGACCAGCTCCTACTCAGCCAAGGTCTGTGCGTTTATTTCCAGCTGGGAGTAATCAAATGTATGTACAGTCGAAAAAATAGTAGAAAAACAGGAGTAAAAAGGCCCACCCTCCACCTCGGGAGGGGCCAGGTCGGGCCGGCCGAGCATCGTACCTGGCACCCAGGGGAGAGCGCTGGGCATTGTCAGGGCAGCAGTAGGGAAGCCACTGAGCGTGGGCCAGGAGGGCACTGCCCTGCCTGCTCCCCAGATACCCCTGGAGCAGCCAGAGCCCTGAGGTCACCCGTGTGGCCAGCTGGCTCAAGACACGCCCAGGGGAGGCCGAGGCCCAGCCCACGCTCTCCATCAGCAGGTCCACACCTGGAAAGACAGAGCTCCAGGTCAGCCCCTGCCCTCTCCCACTGCCCACCTTGGGTCACTCCGCCCCCTGGGGAACTGACCTTGACGGTACTGTCCACAGCGCCCGAGAAGAGCCGACCTCGGGACACGGCCAGTGCTGTCACGCTGCCCTGGTGCCTAAGCAAGGTCTGCGTGCAGATCATGTTGTCCATGCTCCAGACCTGGGGACATACGGTCATGAAGGCCACACGGCCACCCATAAGAACCCTGCTCCCCCCACCCCGCTGTCACCACCCAGGCCTGGCACCCACCCTGAGGGACCGGTCATACGATGCGCTGAAAACTTTGGTCTGGTCTGGCGTTGAGATGACCGCCAGGGCGTACACAGTGCCCACGTGGCCCGTCAGGGTTCGCACCTGCTCCTTGGATTCGATGTCCCACACCTGGGAGGGAGCAAGCAGGTGAGGGGCACAGGTGGGGGCTGGCAGGGCTCTGGAGTAGGGTGGAGGTCTGCTTACGTGGATGAGGTTCTCATAGGTGCCGCAGACGATGTGGTGGCTGGTCACAGCGATGGAGTAGACGCTGCCCCCTGACGTCTGGAGCACATGGACACATTCTAGCGTCCGGATATCCCAGATCTGCGGGCAGGTGAGTGAGCTTGGGTTCTGGACCCTCAACCAGCCCCAAGGCCCAGCCTGTCTGCTGGGGGACAGGGTGAGCCAAGGGTCCTGCAGGCATGGGGAAGGCCCTGCCCATGGTGGGAGCCCACCTTGATTGTCTGGTAGGAGCCGCTGTACAGGTAGCTCTGGGCAGCCACCAGTGCCCGCACCCAGTGGTTCAGGCCTGTAAGCTCCTTCTTTAACTTCAGCTCCGTGCCCACGATGTCCCAGACCTGGGGGCATGCCAGCAGTGAGGGGGAGAAGGGGTACCTGGTGCCCTAGGACCCGTCCCTGCACACCCTGCCCCACACCTTGATGGCCTTCAGGGAGCCACTGAAGAGCATGTTGTGTGAGGAGACCAGTGTACACACAGGGTTGTCGTGGGCCCGAATTGTGTTTACCTTCTGCAGATTCTGGATATCCCACACCTGTGCACAGTGGGGTGTGGGAGTCTGAGGGTGTGACCGGCCAGCACCAGTCCCCGCCCCTCCGGTCACGGCCCCGCCCCACTCCCTGCCCACGGCTCACGATGATGGTGCAGTCCGCTGAGCCGCTATACAGCTTGCACCTGCAGAAGCAGAACCAGGGCATTAGGGCCACCATCCCTGCCTTGCCTAGGGCAGCAGGTGCGGGCAGCTTGGGCTGAGGCCACTGCTGCTTGCCTACGTAAGCCTCTGTTCCCGGCCTCCATGCCAGGTCCTTGGAAGTGGTAGCCAGGCCCCTGGTGTCAGCAGGCAAGGCCCCTGCGGCTGAGCTGTGAGGCCATTACGCTTTAGCGCTGCATAAATCCACCCAGCTGGTGGTGGCGGGGACTGCCTGCAAGCATGCATTGCGTCACGTGGCGCGCTCTCTCTCTCTCTCTCTCTCTCACACACAGACACACACACAAATGTGCCCTCGGGTTCACATGCTCACACCCGTGCTCACAACCACTCACACGCCCATTCATACACATGCACGCGCACACGCGTGTGTGCACCTGCAACTGTGCCCACATACACAAAGCCCCATGACATAAGACAAGAGGCCAGGGCAGGGAGGTGGCTCCTCCGGGGTCCTCCCGAGGTGTGGGGTCCAGGTCTCAGGCTACAGGAAGCTGAGCCCCTCCCTGCCTGTGCTCTTGGCCCAAGTCTGTGACAACCCCATCCCCCCCACCCAAGAACTCCTGGGCTCTGAGGGTCTTGGGGATTACTGATACACACACACACACACTCACCCCAACACAGCCACGGACACACGCAGAAATACACACACATATAGAGCTACTGACACAGACACACACACGGCCAACACAGACACACACGGCCAACACAGACACACAGAGACAGAACAAAACCCGGCGCCGACTGCAACGCTCACCCCTGGATGCAGAGCGCAAGCACGATGCCGTCGTGGCCCTCCAGCGTCTTCTGGCACTTGTACGTGGTACACGTGTCCCACACCTGCAGTGGCAGGACCAGCCGTTAGGGGGTGACCGGTAAGGCGGGGAAAGCGGGACCCTGGCCACCCCACCCACCTTGATGGTCTTGTCTGAGGAGCCGCTGAAGAGCAGGTCACCCATGGAGTAGACGCAGAGACACCAGACGGGGCCCTGGTGGCCCACAAAGGTCCCCTTGCACTTGAAGATCTGCTGGGGGTCGTAGGCTGCGGAAAGGGTGGGCGGAATGAGGCCCGTGGAGGCCCCCGGGGAGGGCTGAAGAGGTGTAGGGGCGAGGCCACGCACTCACATCCAAGAATGCCCATGTTGAGCCGCGCATTGATGTGGGACAGCTCATCCTGCAGAGGCAAGAAAGGCCGGTGGGGAGGGGGTCCCACCCCCGGGCGTGCCCGCCCCCGCCCCCAGCAGCGCCGCCCACGCGCCGCGCACGTTCAGCATGGACGCATCCCGCCGGAACTCCATCAGGTCCTCGCTGAGCTTGCTCTGGTTCTCGTCCAGCACGTCTGGGCAGTAGAAGGGGTGTGGTCACGGGGCGGGGCGTCGCCCGGCCCCGCCCCCGGCCCGCCACGCCCCCAGGCCTCACCGAACTTGAGCTCCAGGCTCTTCTCCAGCTGGTCGATCTTCTCCGAGAGCTTGCCCAGCATGGAGCGCAGGAAGGCGATCTCCTGGTCCTTCTGGGCCAGCGCCACCTGCATCTCGTGGAAGCGGTCGTCCGTCTGCTGCAGGAACTCCTTCAGGCCCTCGAAGCGGCACGTCTCCAGGTGTGTCTCGTAGGTGTCCTGGTTCCCGATGAACGTGCACCTGGAACACAGGACGCTCCCGCTGGCCTGCCTGACCCCTCCAACCACCGCTGGGCCCTGCCCGCCCCCATCATCCCTTGCCCCATGTTCCCCCTCACCCCGCATTCCACCCCCTACCCCCCTGCTCCAACAGCAAACCCAGACGTCCAGCTCTGCTCGACCACGCTCAGAACCCAGGCCACCGCCCTCAGGGGTCTCCAGAACCATGCCCCTGCCCTCCACACCAGCAGCCACCTGACTGCAGGCCCTTTGCCTGAGCCAGTCCAGCTACCACTGCCCCTTCTGCTGCCTTCCTGGTCTCCTGCCCCACCCCAGGTGGGCCTCCTGGGTGCTCTGCACATGCCCCCGCCCCCAGGCCTCCCTGCACCCCCTGGC